CAAACGGGGGTCGGTCAGGGCGCTGGATCCTGCAGGATCCGGCAGCATCCTGCAATTCATTCAGCAGCCTGACTTTGGTGATATTCTGCAATGGACGTTGGTTGGTGCTTCGCTCGCGGGGGAAAACAAAAAACAGGATCCTGCAGGGACCTGGGGCGCACTTACCCGGGCCTGGGTGCAGGATCCTGCAGGGTCCTGCAAGGCCTGACTGACCCGGGTCTGGAAGGACCTGGGTCAATATATCCCCGACCACTGGGGTCCCCCGGGTCGCCGAACGCGATGCGATAGCGGCGCCGTGCGCGCTTCTGTTTGGTCCCCCCGCGGCCCCCCCCCAAGCAGCCGCGCACCGAAGGTCGCTCTTGCCCAGGGTCGCTCTTGCGCGTAGCCGAACTGGCAAGCCGTGCCTCCCAAGGTGCACTCCTGCCTAGTTGGGGTCGCTCTTGTGTGTAGTGCGGCCGACGCCCCTCACCTTCTTCCTGATGCTGCTGGCTTTATGAGAGAATCTTCCAATGATGTCGTTCGCGCTTTGTTTTCGGGCCCCCGTTTACCTGGCGGGCCGGCCGCTGTGCAAAGCCACACGGGCTTTTGCGGATAGAGTTGCATGGTGGTGCGGGCCTTCGCGGAGCCAGGGCGTCCCGAGACAAAGATACGAAGTCGCCCTGACGCCAGGCTCATCTGTTGGGTTGCGACCGACCCCTGGGAAGCTGAACTGGGCATCGGTCTTGGTAAACACCGGTTGCATTCAAGCCTTCTCACGCAATCCAATGTTACCCGTCGCCTGATCAGGCTCAATATCCGCTTCAGTAGGAGAAGGGGGAGGAGGAGGAGGACGAGGAGGAGGAGGACGAGGAGGAGTAGGGAGGAGTTTGTGGAGGGCGAGAGATTATGTGGGCCCCCTCGGGCTCGTGCCAACCGTTGAGAGCGCAGAGTCCTTCATGGCTCGTGCTGACAGCTTTTCTGGCACGGAACGAACTACTTGCCTACTGGTGCTCGGCGATGCTCAGCGATGCTCACTTGTGTTTGGCGGTGCCCTGCGCACTGCTTGTCTACCGCTGCTCAGTATTGGTGAGTGCTGCTCGCTGGTCGTCACTGCTGATCGGTGCTGCTCACTGCTACACTGTGCTTCCTAATTGCTTGCTCACTGCTTGCTCACCACCTCCCATAGCCTGGTCGCTGCTGATCGCCCCTCGCTCATTGCTGATCATTGCCTGCCCACTGCCTGAGCGCTGATGCTCAGTACTGGTCATTGAAGCTAACTGGGTGGTCATTGCTGACCGAGCGCTGCTCGGTGACGATCATTGGTGATCATTGGTGCTCCCTGGTGCTCTGTGCTGCTCATTGCTGCCGAGTGCGATGCATTGCTTGGTTTCTGCTATGCTACTGCTTGCTGAATGACTGCTTACTGCTGCTCGCTGTTGCTCATTGCCTGCTCAGTTTCGCACACTGCGACCACGGCTTGACCACTGCGTGTTGGCTGATTTCGTGCCGCAAGCTCACTGGTGTACACTTCTGATCATTGCTGCTCACTGGTGTTCACTGCTGGTAACTGCTGCATACGATTACCCGCTCGCCTGCCCCCCCCCGCTAAAGCCATGCCCACAGGTTCAAATTGTATGTCCCTTTCTTCAGTATCTTCGTGCATGTCCCCCCTCTCCATGATATTCCTGTGCCTCCGCAGCAATAGGCTGTAGTGGTGAGTGGGCAAGCAGCTGGAACGCAGTGGGCGATCATTGGGCAACCAGTAAATAGCAGTGACCAGCATGGACCAGCAGTGAACACAGTGATCAGCAGTGTGGATCAGTGAGCAATCAGTGACCAATAAGTTGGCAATCGGTGGGCGCGCCGTAATAAGCAGCAGTCATCAGCAACTGGCATCAGTGGGCAACCGGCAAGCAAATTGTGCGAAGGAAGTGGGCCGCCCTAAAGTCCGCACTACCTTCGCGCTGATCGCTCACTGCTGCTAACTGACTGTCTGTCGCTGCTCACTGCTGACCGCTGCCTGCGCTCTGTTGCTCAATTGTTACCCATTGCATGATCGCTGCTGTATATTCCTGCCCAGCGCAAGTTACATCTGAGCGTTGATGTCTACTGCTGCCAATTGATGATGGTCGCTGCTCGTTGGTTGCACACCGCTGCTCAGTGCTGCTCACTGGTGCTCAATGGTGCTCTCTTCTTGTTCACGGGTGCTATCTGCTGATCCTTGTTTGCCCACCGCCGCTCAGTGATGCACGGCGCTTCGGACTACCCGCTGACAGTTGTTGATCGCTGCGCATGGCTTGCCCACGGCTGCTCAATGTTGCTAAGTGCTTATCGTTGGTGCGCATTGGTGCTCTTTGCTGTCTACTAATACTCCATAGCCCACCGCTGTTCACGCAGTGCTGCTCACTGCCTGCTCACTGCCTGCTCACTGCTGCTCACTACTGCTCTCTGTTGCCTAGTGTTGAGCACTGATTGATCACCGCTGGTCGGTGCTTCTCCGTGCTGCTGGCTGATTCTTTCTGCTGGTCTCCGGTGGCATCCGCAGTTCGCCGCTTGCCCACCGCTGATCAATGCTAAGCGTTGCTGATAAGCGTTGCTCACGGGTGATCGCTGCAGGGCGGTGTTGCCAATTGTTATTCACCGTTGCGCGTTGTCGCCCCAGTGCTTGGTCACTGGTTGCCTATCTGCTCACTGCTGATCGCGTCTTACCGCTAGCCGCTAGCGCTTATGACCTGCCCAATGTTTGCACACTGTTGCTCAGTATTTTCATCAGTCCTGGTCGATGCTGTTCACTGGTGCTGTCGGCTGACCTGGGCTTACAGGTGCGCTCTGCTACGCGTTGATATTCACTGCTGCGCACTGCTAGGAATGCCTGCTCACTGGGTGCTCATTACTGCCCAGCGTTGCTGTGCCGATCAATGGATTTCCCGCCTGCCCACTGCTGCACAGTGTTGTTGCTCACAGATGTGCACGGCTTGTCGTTGATGTCCACTGCGTGTTCATCATCGTTCATATTTTCTCGTTGCTGACCACTGATTCCCACTGTTCGCTGCCTAGCCACTGGCAGTGCTGCTCGCTGCTGGTCAGAACTTGTCTCTGCAGCGCGCTGGTTACTGACTGCTTAGGCGCTGCGTGAAGACTGCGTGACCACAGTTTGCTAGCTGTTGGCCTTCGTTTGCAAGTTCCCGCATCTCAAGGGTAGGGGACAAGGAGCAGCATGGGGACGATGAGGGGGAGGAGGAATAAGAGCATCATCACCAGCAGGAGCGTGACGAGCAACCCATCAGGATGACCAGGGGGAGGTTAAGACTCGGAAAATGAGCAGCATGTCCAGGAAGGTAAACAGAAGGAAGGGTAGCAACACGAAATGACTGGAGCAGGGGTGAGTGGAGGATTCGAAATTTGAGGAGCAGGGGAAGCTGCAGTTTGCTCAAGAGGATGGTGGTTACTACTGCTTCTTGTCCATCTCGTCCTCCTGCTGCTCAGCCGCCTCGTCAGGTTTCCCGTCGCCCTCTGCCTCCTCTTTTTCAAGTCCTCGGTGACGTGCGCGACAGCGGCGATCTCGAAGCACGACGACGCAGACGACGGCGATGGCGACAGCGACGAAAGTCACGACGCGGGTCACGAGAACAAGCGCATACAGTGAGCGGCTTGAGTAAGGAACACTTACTTCTAAAAAGGAGCTCGGTCGTTCGTCAGGTTCGCATGCGTTGTTGATCGTTCCTTATGCGTTATGCATTCATTATCGTTCCTTGTGCATGATTCTTTCGGAGGAAAAAAGGGCTTTCGTTTCTTATCTATCGTTCCTAAGGTCAGGCCGATGACTGTAGGGTGGAAGAGAATGGGCGGCGAGAGCCTGGGCGGCAGGCACAGGTGGCGGCGGTGGGCGGCGGGGCGGCGGGGGGGGGCCTGCGGTCAAGCCGCACGCGGGGGAGCATTTGCGACCACCTCTGCAGGGTGCCCCTTGGGGGCGGTGGTGGCGGCGGCAGCGGTGGTGGGCGGGGGGGCGAAGGGGACCCAAAGATCCGATGTCGTGATTTTTTCAATGCCAGGTCCCGGGAAGTCCCGACCCTTTCCCCAGGGCCAGTTTTTCATCCTGAGCCGTTTTTTGACGGCCCCGAGGCCCGGCGAGGGCCTCTAGAGGCCGAAAATGGCAAAAAGCCTCCGTCTGGATTTTTTCAATACGTTGGATCTCTGGGGAGGGGTGTGCAAAATTCGCCGGCCCAACTGGCCAGAAGCGTGCCAAGATCTCCAGTAGCTGCTTACATGTATTTCTGCTTCGCGCGCGCGGAGGGAGCGGCCCTGGGGGTCACCGGACGAAGAGTACCCCGGGCGGTCCCCGGCCGGGTCGAGTCAGAGGTCCCTTTTCTTCTGGGCGCCGCCCTCGAGGCCTTCCATGAGAGCCCCAAGAAGGGCTCAGAGGCCTCCAAGAGGACCCCAAGAGTCAAGGGAGGAAAAACCACCCGGACCAGACAATTGGCGCTTACTAAACGGCCCTGGGCGTTTATGAAACAGCCCTGCCCTGTTTGACTCCTTCTTTGGGCGCGTTTGCTAAACGGCTTCGCGTGTCGGGGTGGTTATTATCGGGATGGATTTTCTGTCCTCTAAAGAGGCCCCCGAGGGGGAGGGGGGGCGCAAAATGACTCGGTGCTTCGGTGGCCGTTCGGGACGATCTGGGCAACCCCCTAACCCCCTGAAGGCGCTGTCGGCGAGGCGCCGCCGCCCGCTGTGAGGCACCCCGAGGCTGGACAAAACCGAGTAGAACTTGCGAAGACGTCCGCCAAACCTCGAGCTTCGTCCCCAGAGATCGTTTTGAACAAATCAAGACGGAGGTTTTTTTGCCATTTTATGTCTCTAGAGGCCCTCGCCGGGCCTCGGGACCGTCAGAAAACGACTCAGGATGAAAGAGCGGCCCTGGGAAAAGGGTCGGGACTTCCCGGGACCCCGCATGGAAACAAAAATCACGACGTTGGATTTTTGGGTCCCCCTCGCCTCCTCCCCCCCTCCTCCCCTCCCTCCCTAGAGGATCAGGGCTCGGCGCGGGCGTGTGCGCGCACGCTGCCCTCTCCGCTCTCATGCAGCCGGCCTTCGCCGGCAACCGGCTGGCCGCGGCCACCTGTGCTCCCGTGGGGGGGGGCAGCACTCAGCGCACCACTCTTCCCCTTCCTCCTCCTCCTCCTCCTCCTCCTCCTCCTCCTCCTCCTCCTCCTCCTTCTCCTCCTCCTCCTCTTCCTCCTTTTTCCCTTTTCCTGCTCCCTCCTCCTTCCGGCTTCCGACCTGGCCGTCCGTAGCCATTTTGGCTCAAGCCGTTTCGGCTCAGGCAGTTGTCTGAGCTTGCAGCAGTATACCTCTTCGAAACGGCCAAGTGCTGTTGCGGGCCTCGCCCTTTTTCGCACGCCCTGTTGGGCACCAGTTTGCAGTCGCGCTCCTGCGGGGGCATCCATGGATGGGCCAGTCCTCGCTGGCCCCAGACTTCCCTATTGGACGTGTACGGGCTGCGGCCTCAACACCAACTGGGCGTCGAGAGTCGAGTGCAGGTGCGGGCGCGCCGCCCCGCCTGCAGTGGCCGCGGCCGCCAAACGGAACACGAAGAAGGGCATCAACGGTGGCGGTGGTGGTCAGTCTTCTCCTGGTGGGCCTCGCGGTCTTGGAGGAGGCGGCAAGAAACAACAAAACCTACAGAAGCAGCTCGATGCCATCACCAAGCGCTACGAGCAGTTGGTCAAATCCACCCAGCCCACCCAGTCAACCACGACAGCTGGCGGCGGCGAGCCAGCTAAGGTGGACAGCAAAGAAAAGGAAGTACGGGCGAAGATACAGAGTCTCGAGGCCGCCATCAATGCGGTCGACAAGATCGGAGACGAAGGTTCGGCGGCCAAGGTTGCACTCGAGGAGCAGCTGGTCACCGCCAAGAAGGAGTTGGCATCGCTCAAGCCAGCGCTCACCCAGCACACCAACACGGGGCACAAGCTGGCGCGGGCGGAGGCCAAGAAGGCTAAGTTGGTTCAAGATGCAGCAGATCAACAGGCCATCATCACCCAGGCGCAGGCGAAGCTTGACAGCTTGCAGGCGCAGGTGGTGGTGGTTGACAAGGAGACCCTGGAGCTCAATCGGGAGTTGGTGCGCAACCTTCCTGGTCGGCTCGAGGCTCCTGTGCTCAACCTGGAGGAGGTGGAGGCAGGTGCTGAGAAGGATGAGATCGCCGCCTTCCTCCAGACCGAGACGTTTCAGAAGTACACACGCTTGTTGCAGGCACAGCAGGATCGTGCAGCGACGAGACCAGAGACAGCGTCTTCACCGTTCCATTGTGCTACTGCTCCTGTGGGTGGCGATGTGGGCGGTGGACAACAACGTGCTGAGTCCAACGGCGATGTTGGCAGTGATCGTTCCGAGACTCCAGGCGAACAGGTCCCAGCAGGGGACGATGATGGGGACATGGAGGGGCTCTTCTACACGGCCCAGCGGGTCGACAAGAGGGACTTCGTGCAGCAGGTCCAGGCCCTGCTCGCCAAACGTCAGCGGTGCTCCTGATGCAGGAGTGATGAGCCCCACCAGGTTTTCTAGACAGCCCGCTTTGCCGCTCTGTTGTGGCATGCGTCTGTCCAGGCATGGCACGGTCCAGCCCCCTCCTCCTCCTCCTCGCCTCGACTCCGACGTTTCGAGCTTGAGTGGCGGCGGAGAGTGCATCGAGACCTGTAACGGTAATTCCTGGAACACTTTGCGCGACAGATTGGCGGCCTCTAGCGCGCTCATCTTTTTGGCGCAGGAGGTTGGCTTTCCCGAGGATCTCCTGGGAGAGAAATGTTCGGCCGTGGGCAAACTCGGGTGGGAGATGCTCGATTCCCCCTCGGCCCTGGGGGCCTCTGGGAGGCCCAACTGGGATGTTGCCGTCCTGGTCAGGGCCCATGTGGGCCTGAGGTGGCCCGAAGGAGGGGGCATCGTCGTTCCTGCCCGTGTTATGAAGGTTGTTGTCGATATCCCGTCGTGGCCGCCCCTCGCCATAGCTTGCGCCTATCTGAAGTCGGGATCGGGATTGTGCGAACGCAACGTTGCTTACCTTGGGGCCATTGGAAAGGCCCCCGAGCAGGAGCATCTGAGCCTCTGCGGAGGTGATTGGAACCTTGGCCCTTCCCTCGTCGAAACGTAGGGCGTGGCTCGGAGACTCGGCTCCCTTCTTTTCGTCCCCAAGGAACGTGCGTGCGTCCGCTCGTGTTCGCTTAGCACCATTGATTTCTTTATGTGTAGCACGGCGTTGAGCCGAGCCATCTCGCACGTCCATTGTGACATGCAATGGGGCAGCCGCCCTCGCCGCCCAGTGGTCCTTCAGCTCAAGGACCAAGCGATTCGCTTGTATCAGCTGGTCTACCCCAGCCATCCCCGCCTCCCCGCCGAGCTCCCCTTTGGGCCCACCCCCAGACCCCACGATTGGACGCTCGCTCGGGACATAGCTGAGAGTGCGGCGCAGGCCGCGTTGGACCAGCCCGTGGGGTTCTCTCGGGAGTTGCTTACCCAGGCTTGGCGCGTTTTTGCGAATAAGTTGGAGTTGGAGCGAATCCTACTTGGGGGCCCCTCTGGCGACTAAGGATCTCAAGGGTGAAAGTCCCAGAGCGAGATGGGCGCCCATTTTCACTTCCCCGAAGAGTTCTTGCACTCAGCTGGTTGATCACGGGTGGGTTTGGTTAGCCCAGCATTCATCCGAGACCATAGGAGTGGTTTCGCGTTTGTTTGACTCCGTGCGGGATCCGTCGACGGAGCTCGTCAAAGGTGAAGAGCTCTCACAGGATTCGAGCCAGCAGGCGCAGCGATTTTTAGTTCAGCCGCGCCCTGGAGAGGACCTGTCCTCGCGCCTGGACGCCACGGTGGCGCAGGTGCGCGCGCTCATGCGCAGGCGGCCTCCTACCTCGCTCGAGGTGCGGGTGCAAGACGCGCGCGAGCTGCTGGACTGCCTCGAGGATGACAGGTCGCAGGCCCAGAAGAGCCTCCTGAAGGCGAAGCAGGACTCTTGGGACGAATGGCAGGAGAAAGCGTTAAAAGCGGGGGCTCGGGCCATGCACAGGCTCACCCAATTGAAACAAACATGGGCACCGACTGTGGTGCAGACGTCTCCTGGGCAGTACAGCAGTGACCCTCAATCTTTGTTACGCGCGGAGGCTGAGACTTTGGCCAAGTTTTGGCATGCGACGTCTCACCCTTCAACGGTTAAGGTACCAGACCGTGCCCACCTTCCTCGCGCGAGCGCCTCCGACATCAGGAGCGCCAGCGCCAGTTTCTCCTCCCTCACCCCCCAATCCCTGGACGGAATCCATCCCAAACACTTGTCGTTTGTGTCTGACGCGGCTCTTGAAACTTTGGGGGCTCTGTATCAGGCTGTGGAAAGCTTGGGTTTGTTCCCCGAGCAATTGTTTTGGGCGCTTTTCCCTCTCCTGGAAAAACCCAAGGGGGGCCTGCGGCCGATTCTTTTGTGTGCTGGCCACGTCCGCGTTTGGGAAAGGCTGGGGAGGCCTGTTCTGTTGCGTTTCAATGACGATTACCCTCGGAGATTCTGGGCCTTTGGACCTGGACGCAGCGCCGAGGATGCTGTGTGGCACCAGGCGGCCAGAGCGGAGGTCTCGGATCACTCTGCTAAGGTCTCGGGGGGAGTGATTTGGGACGGCGCCAAATACTATGGAATCTTCGACCTCGAACTCCTGAAAAAAGCGGGCCCTGGATCGCGGCTTCCACCCTGCGATCGTCAAGACGACTTATGATTGTTGGAGGGGCCCACGGTTGCTCCGTTTATGCGCCCAGTGCGGAACCACTCCTATGTTTGCGGAGTCGGGGTTGCCAGCGGGTGGTATTTTCAACGATTTGTTTGTTCGAGTTTACAGCTTAGCTGCGTTTGATCAGTTCACCCTTGAGCACCCGTTGGCATCGTTATCGTCGTATGTTGATGACGACTCTCTCACGACAGAAGGAGAGAGTGAGCTCGAGGTGCTTGATAGGATGTCCAAGGCTGCGGCGGCCATGTACATCATTGTTCGAGATTACTTGAAGGTCCAGCTACAGGCGGACAAGCTCACCACGCATGCCAGTTCCCTCTCGCTGGCGCGCAAGCCCGGCAGGCTGCTCGGCGGCATGGCCGGCGCGATCGCCAACAGCGCGGTCGTGCTAGGGGCCGACCTGGCGATGGGACAAACACGGTCGTCGCGTCACGCTTTATGGAAAAGGAAGCAACGTCTCAAACGCATGGTTAAAAGATACGGCATTTTGAAAAAGGTATCGCGACCGTTTGCCCCGCCAGAAGGGTAGAAGTCGCAAAATCAATGTGTCTGGTGTGGCCCCTGCGGCTACTTTCGGGGCCGCCATTGTCGGTATGGGCGATCAGGAGATGAAACAAGCCCAGAGAGTTTTACTTGCGTACAAGCCCCCGTACCACCAGGGCGTTTCGTTTCATGCCAAGTTGGCATTTTGTGGGACCCTGCTTGGAGGGCTGGAGTTGCCCCAGCCCCTCATTGGGCTCATATTGTTTGGATTGCCCTCACCTCTCCCTCCACGTCCCACTATAACATTAAGGAGCTGTGTCAGATGTGGAACGTTATTCCTCGGGGCGAGGGGTTGTCTTGGAAGTGCTCTCGAGGGCCCGTCCAGAGAATGCATCTCTCGCTCAATAGGATTGGCTGGCAATCTGTTTCGGCCTTGACGTGGGTCGATGATTTCAACAGGGTGGTTCAGGAAGTCACGAATGCCCATCCCACTTGGCTGGCCGAGGCTATCAGCAGTGACGACCGATGTTTCTGGGATGAGCTTAAATGGGGCCACCTTGGGTCCCGAGTGCCCTGCCCCAGCGACGACCCCAACCCCAAGTTGTATGATCCCTCAGGCAAAGAAATTCAGTGGGATTCCTTGGACCTTCGAGGCCTCGACGTCTGTATGGATGGGTCGTGCACTCGGCATGTGATTAGGGAGTTGTCTCGTGCCGCCTTTGTTTGGGTCTTTTTGGGCGACGCAGGTGATGTGCGAGCTTTCGCCAAAGGAACGGTTTGGGACGTCCTCCAGCAGACTCCCCAGGCGGCTGAGCACCAGGCGATGGCGGTGCTGCCTATGTTTGTGGAGTACAGCGGTGACAGATACTCGGATTGCGCCACGGTGACTAAGCTGTGTAACGCCTCGTTGCATCACCAGGTGTCTCATAAGCATCGTTACGGAGGAATGCGTCGGGGGGCTTTATTCTATGAGAAATATGACCATGATTTTCGTGTCTTCCATACCCCCGCGCACAGATCTCAGGGGGATCCCGACAGGCTCCCTGAGTCCGAGAGGAGAACCGGCATAGGTAATCGGTATGCAGACTCGTTAGCCAAAGAAGCTCTCCTCCTCCACCCCCAAACCTCCGAAGCTCTCTATTAAGAAGTTAGTGGGCAGATTGACAAAATAGTTTTTGCGGCCAAAGTCACGGCCAATGTTTCGTGCGTCTTCCCTGTAGAGAGGTTCGAACGGAGCCCTTCTGGACCTAGGTTTAAGTTCCTCAGGTCTGGAGGCTGGCACCACTGGGAACTCTTGGACGCGTGTCGAGCTAGGTGCTTCAGATGCCTGCAGTTTTTGGGGGGCCCTGGCACCCGCCCTTCGTTGGGCTGCAAGGGCCCCAGCAAGACCTGGCTTGGAGTTTTAGATTTCAGCAAGGGCCACACGTTGGCTCAGACGTTTGTCTCACGCGGAGACATAGAATCGAGCTTGTTCTTTTGTGCCACGTGCGGCGCTTATACGTCGCGCCGCTGTTTCAAGTTGGGCCAGGAGTGCGTTGGCCGCGAACTTTCAGGGGCCAAATCCACCCTGTCTCGCATTGTTTCTGGCCTTCACCCTCATCACAGGAACGAGGATCGAGTTTCCCAGACCTCTCGGAGGGGGTCAATTATCTGTGTTACGCTGCCTCCCCCCCCCCCCCCCCTCCCGAAGTCGCAGCGCCAGCTGCGGGGGCGGAGAGGTTTGTTCAGACGCCTGGGATGCTCGCGCTGTTGGCGCGAGTCCATGCGCGAGAGTCTGCCGCCGCGCCTGGTGCTCACCTGGCTGCGTCCGTGCGTGGTTCGAGTTCGAACCTGCAGCCTCAGCCTGTGCCGCAGCGCGGCCGTGCAGCCCTCTCACAGCAGGAGCATGCAGAGTCGTTGTTCAGGGCACCTGACCCTGCACCTGGCTATGTCTGGTATCTCTGCTGATGTTTCAGAAGCCTGGGGTGGACCTGACATGCAGGTAAACCCACCCCAGTCTTGTGTGCACAATGTGTGCCGTTTGCGGCACGTGCTGCATATGTGTCAGGGCCTAACTGTAGCCCCCTTCGGTCCTGCCCACTGGTTCGCAGAGGAAAAAAATCCGACCTGGCCTGGGCACGCGCGACCACCTTTTTTTAGTTTCAATATTTTGCGCGAGCGGGCAGCGGAATGGAAACATTTTCTGGCGTTGGTACCAGCCATCGAATTTGAAAAGGCTTCCGACACAGTCGACGACGATTGTTTGTGGGCAGCTCTACTTCACCAAGACGTTCCTTCTGCGTACATAGACATTTTCTGGCGCATGTACCAAGACCAGACATCCGCGGTCCGCATTGACACCACCAACAACCATTAGACGTCCGACGCGACACAAAGTAAGGGGACCTTTTGAGTTGACTGTTGTTCAACGCGCTACTCCAACACGCATTCGCACCGTTGTTCCCAGAATGGCAGAGACAAGGCGTCCAAATGGGTCACACCGAAGCTCCGACATCTGGCTGACAAGTCAAACACTACTTAATCTAAAGTACTCCAATCTGATCTCAGCACCTCAGCCACGCCAGCACCATCACCTACCTGGGCCAAGCCGTTCCTTTCCACGACGCCCCCGAGACTGAAGTAAGACCCCGGATTCGAACAGCATGGGCGTGCTTCAGCGGCCGCAGACAAGAATTCACCAGCAAGCACTCCCGATAGAAACACCGACTACGAATTTACAGAGACACCGTCATGCCTACTACGATGTACGGCGCAGAAGCGTGGACTCTGACAAAACCTCTCGAACAGCAACTACTCCGAGCACAGCGACGGATGATCAAACTGGTATTTGGAACACCAAGAAGACGCACGGCAGTAACGCCAACGCCCGCACCACAATACAGGGACACACCAAAACAACAACCACGACACCAGCAGCACCACCCCGAGCGACTCCAGCGAATCCGACGTCTGCAGCAATCCACCCATCGACTAGTCAGACTCGCAGGACGAGGTGAGCAATGACGAGGGCACACAGCCAGGCACGATGCAGGATGGCGACGTCGATTTGTGGTTCGATTTCATGCGTAGAAGCACGCGGAGAGCAGAAGCACTGATGCTCAAGCATGACATACCCGATGTACTACACATCCACCGCCGAAAGGGGTCTGGCGATGGGCGGCTACTGTGGTTTGCCACGTGCCGACGCGCTGGCCGCAAAGAGTGCTGAATTGGAACCCGTGTCTCAATGTTCGACAGCGAGGACGCGGGAAACACGGAAGGCAACCAAATATATGGGAAGGCGGCGTCCAGAAATATTTACACAAATTGGGCGGGCAATGCTGCGACGCCGACGCCGATCGGGACCAGATCTGGGCAGCGACCATGCCGAGAAGGCTTGCGCAAAACAACAGCAACGACCTGCGATGGTTATCGGCGGTAAGGAGCACTAGGTGGTGGCTTTCACATGAACCTGCTTACGTACCATCTTTTTGATGCCGCGGCCTCCACGCCATGCCTTGATGGGCACAAGCGGGCTCCCTCGCGGAGCGCGCACGACTTCGGCGTTCCTTCGTTCCTCCTTCCCGTCTCTCTCCTCTTCTTCCTCTTCTTTTTCCTCCTCCTCCTCCTCCTCTTCCTCCTCCTCCTCCATCCTTCTTCCTCATGAGGAATCCCCTGTCGCACCCCGAGACGGATCGGTAGGGCGGGCCGGGCGTTACGCTTGAGACTTCTTACCATTGCGGTCCTGAAGCTGAGAATTTGAAGGAGCTTCACGGTTCGAGTGCGGGTCGGTCGTTTTCAAATTCGGTTATCGCATTAGCGCCACGCACATTCGTTTGTTTTTCAAATTTCTCAGGAGCTTCACGGATGGAGGGTGGGCCGTTTACAAATGTGGTTCTCGCTTTATCACCGCGCACATACGCTCTAAAATTTGCAAGAGCTTCACGGATGGATGGCGGGTCTTGTTCAAATTTTGGCTCTCGCCTCAGCGCCGCGCACATTCGCCTTAACAGCCTGCAGCAACTCCAAGAATTTTCATAGTTGACGTGCTAGAGGTGGTGTCCCAGCACGATTTAGGATTCATCGGGGCGCGACAGCCACGTTGATTCGCGGTATTTTCGTTCTAGAAACGGTGCTCTGTCACGATTAGGGGCCGTCGGATGGCAATAGTGACGTTGATTCGCGGTGTTGGAGTCCCATGGGCAGTGCCTTGCGACGGTGGAAGATCTTCGAATGGTTGTCATCCAACGGGGCTCTTCCCGTAGTGAGCATAAGTAACTCCAGGAGCATGTGATGAGGGAATTTGGAAGAGGGGTTGATGCAACATCGTTGATTCGTCTTGGGTTTACACTGGTCCTCCTCCTCCTCCTCTTCCTCCTCCCCCTCGCTTGGGGCAGGGCCGGCAGTGCGCGCCGCCACCTCAGATTAGGATCCGGAGGAGGTGGTGATGCATTGCGGTGTGCATCTGCTGCCCCCCCCCGCGCGCGAGCGGCGCATGCCGTCTGGGGCCCCGCGTCGTCCGCCGGTGGTGGTCGCCGCCAGACGTGGCTGACCCGAGCGGCTGGCGAGGCATGCTGCTGCTGGCGGCGCTGGCTGCGGTGGCGGCCCTTCCCCCTTAGGATCGAGGGCCAAGGGTCGGGGGAGGGCAGGATACCGATGCCGCTGCTCATCCTGGAGAGCCGTCGTCGCCACGGCTGGATTCGCCTCGAAGTCCTGGCCAGAATGCGCCCTGGGAGAGGTTCGAGGAGTAGCGGTATCGTTGTTTTCAGCCCCCCAAAACGGTGCTATTTTCGTTTCCGGGTCATAATTCAGCTCTCAGGCGGCCGTTCGGGACGATCGGGGCACCCCCGAACGCTCTCGGCGAGGCGCAGCCGCATGAAGGACCCCGAGGCTAGAAAGCCGCCGAGAACCTTCGAAAATGTCCAGAAATCTCGAGCTTCGAAAGTCCGAAACGTCTCCCCGCACGTTGCCCCTAACAGCACCCCAGTTTCGGTGCTCTTGAGCACGTGCGGTCTTCCTTGGGAGCCTTTGCAAGCCTCCAGGGCCTCTGAGAGCCACCACAAGGCCTGCGGAGGTTGACGATGTCGTCGCCGCTGTGCCCCGTCGGGGTCCTTTGGCGTGCCTCTTCGTCGTCCTCATCCTACCTCCTCGTCGTCGTCAGCAGCCCTGCCCCTTCCTTCGGCGCCTGATCATTTCCGTCCTCCTCGTCCTCCTCGTCGTCCTCCTCCTCCTCCTCCTCCTCCTCCTCCTCCTCCTTGGGCTCCTCCTCCTGTTCCTCCTACTCTTCTCCTTCCCGTGCTCTTCCTCCCCCTCCCGTCCCTTGTCTTCCCCACTTCCCCCTCCTCTTCCTTCCCGGCCAGCCCCTTCTCATCTCCGCCCTCCTCCTGCTCCCCCCGCTCCCTCCCTGGAAGCTCCCAGAGCCTCAGGAGCAGCCCCTTGAGAGACCTCAGGGCAGACTCCGGCAGCTTCCCAGAGCCTCCGGAAGGCATTGGGAGCCTTCTGACATCCCCGAGAACATCGGGGGGCCTTTCGAAAACCGTTTAGGACCTCCTCCTGCCATCCCTCCTCCGTCCTGGGTCCTAGGTCCCCCCGTTTCCGTCCTCCGTTTCCCGTCCCCCTTATCTTCCGTCCTCCGTCGTCCGTCCGTTTTCCTCCTCCTCACTCCTCCTCCTCCTGCTGCTCCTCCTCCTCCTCCTCCTCTTCCTCCTCCTCCTCCTCTTCCTCCTCCTCCTCCTCCTCCTCCTCCTCCTCCTCCTCCTCTCCCTTTCTCCCCCTCCTCCCCCTCCTCCTCCTGCCACGCCTGCGGCACGAAGGCCGGACAGCCGAACGCAGAGAAGGAGGGGAGACGGGGAAAACGGGGGAGGGACACAGGAACGAGAGGCTCCAGTCCAGACATGCGGCCCCGACCGATCGACCATCAGGTCGGGACCACAAGGCGTAGAAGTGGAGGGTTTCTCCGAAGGGCTTCGGCGACCCGTCCTCCTCCTCCTCCTCCTCCTTCTCCTCCTTCTCCTCCTCCTCCTCCTCCTCCTCCTCATCCTCCCCCCTCCCTCTCCACCTCCTCTTCCTCCTCCTTCTCCTTCTCCTCCTCCTCCTTCTCCTCCTCCTCCTCCTCCTCCTCCTCCTCGGGTCGCCTACGGCCCCGAGGGAAACCGTACAGGTAGAAGATGATCTTCCATTTCTTTTCCTTGTAAATAACTCTTCCCTGTCGCACCCCGAAACTTGTCGGAAGGGTGGGCCAGGGGGTTCGCCTGTCATTTCTTCACCACTTGTGGCCCCGAAGCTAAAGCATTGCCAATTGTTTCACAGGTGGAGGGCGAGCCGCTTCCAACATGTGCATCTCGCCTCAGCGCCGGGCACATTCGTTTGAGCAAACTGCAAAAGCTTCATATATTGAGGGCGGGTGGTTTTCAACATGTGGCTCTCGCCTTAGCGCCGCGCAAATGTGCTTCAAATATTTGCCAGAGGTTCACGGATTGAGGGCGGGTCGTTTTCAAACTGTGGCTCTCGCTTTAGCGCCGCGCACATTAGTTAAGCAAATTTGCATGGGCTTCACGGCTTGAAGGCGGGTCGTTTTCAAAATGCGGTTCTCGCTTCGGCGCCGTGCAAGAGTTTCACGGATTGAGGGCGGTTGGTTCTCGCCTTAGCGCCGCGCACATGCGTTTAAACAGATTGCAAGAGTTTCACGGATCCCCATGGCCGGTGTATGAGACATGGTGTTTTGGAAGCATTCAGGATTGTGAGGGCGCAACAGTTGCGTTGATTCGCGCTGTTGAAGTCCCAGGAATGGCGGGTTGGAACGATACAGGACCTTCAAGACGCAACAGTAGGTTGATCCGTGGCGTTGGAGTCCCGAGAATGGTATGTTGGCACGCTTCAGGGCCTTGAAACGGTTGTCTCCCAAAGAGGCAGTTCCCCCAGTGGAAATGAGCCCTTGAAGGGGCCCATGAAGAGGGAACTTGGAGGGAGGGGTTCTTCCAGCATCGTTGATGCGTCTTGGGTTTACACTGGTCCTCCTCCTCCTCCTCCGAAGGCGACCCCGACGTGTGCTTGGGCGCGTTCCGAAACAGGACTTCGTGCGCTCCTCCTCCTCCTCCTCCTCCTCCTCCTCCTCCTCCCATCCTCCTCCTCCTCCTCCTCCTCCTCCTCCTCCTCCTCCTCCTCAGGCGTGGGCTTAGGCCGTGGGAGACATTTCCCTGCGGTGCGTTTTCCTGCACTGCCTGATACTGCACTGCCCGCCCCAGGCTCGTGCGCGCCCACGCACGGGTCGACATACATCATACCCGCAGGGCGATCTCGTTCACCTGCCTGGCATCGGGCCCGTCGTCGGGCTCGTGCGTACGCCAGGCGCTTCTTGAAGATTGCCAAGCTGCGGGCCTTACTGAATAAGCATCACGGGTCTCAGGAGCCTCTCATGCGCGGTGCCGCCCCCGACGCTGACGGGAATGGCGCCCGACGAGGTCGAAGGCCAGAAGTCCAGAAGGAGCCGAGATGGGCATGCGTGGCGACGCGCCAGTGCGGCTTCGAGGGCAACTACGCCAGCAACGATAATTGCTATCAGTGCGGTCGCGACCGCCGTGGTGTACCTGATCCCAGCTTTGTGCCACGGAAGCGACCACCTTCACGCAGACCTCCCTCCCGTCCCCGAGATTCTGGAGGAAAGGACAAGGATAAGAAACCTGACGGTGACAGCAGCGGTGCATCCAGCCCCGCTGATGGAGTTGCCCAGGCACGGCGAGCATTGGCGGCCTTGCGCAAGTGCGGGCTGGGTGACGACGCCCCAGTTGTCCAACAAGCTCGACGGGATTTACAAGTGGCCGAGGAGCGGGAGCAAGCTCATCGGACACCAGATGATATGCTTCGTCGATCTTTGGACAGGCACACCGCCAAATCCAAAGAGGTGGGTGGACTTACCAAAGCAGTCGCTGAGCTGGAAACCAAGCTTGGAGACAAGAAGACGGCGCTCGTCCAGGCCACCACGGAGTTGCAGAACATCCAGTCCGAGGTGCACCTGGCCAGGACAGCCGTACTCGCTGCCACCGCCCAACCTGCTGGCCCAGATGTACTATCCGTACAGGAAGCCATGGGCCGACTCCAGACGGTGGTGGCAGGTGCTTCTGCGGCGATACTTGCAGGCAACTCTCCGACCATGCTTCAGACTCTACAGGACCAGCTGGCGCAGTTGCAGTCCGCAGTTCAAGCCAATGTCGCTGCCCCAGGCACTCCGCAGGCACACCCATGGGCACCCCTCCTCGAGATGCAGGAGGCACAGGATGCCGCTGCCGCTGAGGCCGCGATGGAGGAAAGCGATTGATTATCTCGTATATTTCGTGATGCCACGGCTGTTCAACAATCAGGTTTGTTCTCTGGACGATCTGCCCCTGTCTGAACTACCCGTGGTGGTACCTACTCCCGTCGGCACGCATGGCTCGTCACCTCAGCTCTCTGGGGCACGTGGCGGCGAGTCGTACCGACCTTCGGGACCTAGTCCCGTCGGCACGCATGGCTCGTCGTCCTCGCCTCGGGGGGCACGGAGGGGCGGGTCGTGCCGACCTTCGGGAGTGCAGCGTGCAGATACTACTATGACGGCTTCCAGTGGTTTGAGCGGCGAGAGGCTATCTTATCCACAGGCAGTTCAATTGAATCAGAGTTCGGCTACTACTGTGAGTGGCGTGAGGCTATCACGGCCAGCAGCTGATCGACTTCATTTTCCAACATCTGCTCGACGGGCGCCCAGACGGGGCAGACGGAAGCCGCTTGCCTTCGTCACCTACAACGCCAATGGTTGGACTCGGCTCAGAGGCTTTCTTGAGGAAGGTGCCGCTGGTGCTCTCATAGTCGCGTCTCAGGGGCTTCACGTTCGTGGGGACCAGCGGCTGCAGGCAGAAGAATGGTGCCAGCGCAACGGGTGGAAGGCCTTTGTCAGTGATTGTAAGACTGGCCCTACGGGTCAGCCGATGGCAGGAGTTGGCTTGTTCGTTCGGCACTACGTCGGCACGACCTTCCTGGACGCTCTTCCTGGCGTACGCGATCATGTGCTCGTTAAGTCGTGGTGCGTGGCAGTTTACGTCCATACAGGTCCTCGGGGAGGGTTTGTTGCAGGCAGTAGTTATCTCGAACAGGGTCCTGGACTCACGGGCGACAATATACCTCGGCTCGAGCAGCTGGGCAAGGCGCTCAGATATTATCGGGCCCCATACGTCATCGGTGGTGACTGGAACGTCTCCCCTCAGGTGCTGAGCGACAGTGCTTTCGTGGAGCGCATCGACGGCCATCTCATTGTCGCCCCGCTTGGATCTCATCGGGTTGCGGCAAATGGCACTTATACTTTCCTGGACTACTGGCTCGCCAGTGATGCTCTTGCGGCGGAAATGACCGATGCTCGTCGCGTTGAAGATTATCCGCCTCGCCCTCACTTTCCAATGCGAGTTCAAGTCGGACCTCGGCCCCGAGCTCGTCAACTTGTGCAGCTGCAGGGCCCAAGCGTTCTGCCTGGTAAGCCAGCTCGCAAGCCTTTTCTCTCTGATAACTCGGACGATGATGACGAAGACGCCGTTCCCCTGGGCGACTCTGGCATTGACTGGGTGGATAAGATGCG